TAGTCTCTAAGGTGCCACAAGTACTCCTGTTCTTTTTGCGGATACAGACTAACACGGCTGCTACTCTGAAACCAGCTCTTGAGGTGACCCAAGCTGAGACCTGTGCTCTGACTGTGCTGAGAATTATTTTAGAGCTTGGATTTTATTGTCCTGGAAGTGCTGAGCTCCCACTGACTTCCGTAGGGGTTCGGGGTGCTCTGTGTTTCTGGAAATCAGGCCTGTAAGTGTGTGTCCTTGTAAGCCCTAAAATCTAACTGTACGGAGGTGGGGTTTTAGTGTTTGCTGTCTCCAGCGGAGCCATCTGTGTGGTGGCTTTGATTATTTACACGGAAGCAGCCAAAAGTCTCCAGCATGACTCAGGCTTTTCCCGCTTCTGCTTGTGTTACGCACTGTGAATGTGTGCCGGGTTACATTTCCCCATTTGCTCCAGGACGGAAGGGGAGGGGGCAGCGGAGTGAGGCAGCATCTCTTTCCTCATCTGTTTCCTGACATCTTCCAAATATAGTAGAGGCCCGGAGGAAACTGATGTGGGATTCCGAGAAAAGGCGGCTGTGGGGCTGGCCAGCCAAACAAGGGGTACTCCCTTTTCCTTGCATCTTTTTGCAATTCTTGCTTGGTTATTTTTTATCACTTTTTTTTTTCTCTCCCCTTCTCCACCTCCCCAAAATCAGCAAATGGGATTGTTTTCTCTTCTGACGTAATAAAAAAATAAATCTTTAGCAACAACCCAACGCACCTATGAGCAACCAAGCCTATGATAACAACAGGCAGCCTAGCACCCACTCGCAACCCTACAAGAACAAACCAGGACTAGCAACCCACTGCTCACAGACAACCCTACAGATCAGACCTCACAGAAAGGGGAGAAAGTCCATAAGGATATAGAAACACCTGTCAGGAGCAGTGATTTTTAAAATCCCTCTAGGTTCCTTCTTAAACTTGATGCAAAAAAGGAATATTTACAGATATTTCAAAGTGCCTATGTGACTCTAATATCTTTGTTCTATAGCATCTCAATCCTATAGGTGCTGATCTCTATTCTATTGCCTCAGGTCTCTTTTGTGTTCTTATGAATGTGGTTTGCCTATCCGGACAACCCCGGAGTATGTGATCTGTCTGCCTGTTTTAGACTGCCGCCCATCACTGCAATACCTACCATATAAAATCAGTCCCTGCTGGACTTCATGGTGTCTCTGCTACTTCTCCCTCTTTGGGCTCAAATCTCTGCTTGGGAGAGGGTGTTTGTGGGATTTTTTTGGGTAGAGGTTTAGGGGAACCAGGGAGGCTGTCCGTGTTGTGAGTGTCATTCCTGTGGTGACAAGGCTTTTTATATGGGTTGGGTGAGGCCTGAAACTAGCTGGCGAGTTTACAAAAGAACATTGGTTATTAATGAAAGCACTTTTCAAGCAACCTGGCTTTTCCTTAGGCCCTGATCCAAATCCCAGGAGTCTTTCCAGGGACTTTGATGGGCTTTAGATTAGGCCCTTCCTGAGGGAGAATAGCAATACTGCAGTCTTGGCTTTTTCCCACCCTCTCCGTGAGCTCTGCACAGCAGAATAAAAACTTTGCCTCTCCTCTGCAGCAGCCCCCAAACCGTTGGGGAAACTGTCTCCCCATCTCTGGCTGGTTGGGCCCTTAGCTGTTACACCCTGGAAGGGCTGGTACTGTAAGGAACCCTGATGTGTCCAAGGCGATGCAGTTGACACATGAGGAGGCGCTGGAGGTGTGTTGAATTTGCCATGGAAGGAAGCAGCGGATCCACCATCACCCCTCCCAGGCATATGGGGACGGTGTCCCCCTGGCACGGTTCCCTCTGTTTTGTACCTCGCCTGGGAGTCGCACTGAAAGGGGGAGCAGTGCCGTCTCCCCGCTGGAAACGTCCTAGTTTTTGACCTATTGTTGGGATGGATTTGTTATTACTTGCAAGGGAATGTTCTGTTCTATCTGGTGTCAAGTTTTTGTAGAAAGCCTTGGCCTTTGTAATTTGATGGCATCACACAATTGTGCAACCTTTATTACTGAGAAAAATCCATGTGGATTTTTTTGTTTTGTTTTGCTTCAGCGTAGTGTTTACTACTGAAAATGTCACCCTGAGCCTGTCAAAAGGCTGCTCTGGCTTCCTGTGTAACTAAACACACCACAGTACGTGGTATAGGTAGCACAGCTAGTGAATATTCCTTTGACTTGCTCTTGCTGCCGGCTATGAGTCATTATGGGTTTGTATACGAATCACTTGACCTTATTGTGTCTCGGTTAACCCAGCTGTAACTTGGTACAAGCGAAACCTTCTTTAAAAAATACAAGGGCCTCTTTTTATTTGGACTATGGATGGTCAAATTAAAAATCTGGGACAGAGGCTGATTTAAGCCATAGATTACTGTACATAGCACTTAGTTCTGCAGTTTCATATTTGAGTTCCTTCAGAACTCTTGGGTGATAGCATCTGGTCCTGGTGACTTATTTAGGCTAGAGCGCTAACCACTGGATTACATTTCCTCCCTGGCTAGAGGTAGACCCAGGTTTGTTGGGAAATGAACTAGTGGGTAATTAAGAGTAGGGGAAATTGTTTGTGATGTGGTCAGAAGGGAGTTAGTTTAAAGGTGCAGGCCTGGCAGATATGTGTTTGTATGTATATTTCAGCAATCTGGAGGGTGCAGCTTTCATGTACTGGAGTTGTTTCCAGTTGGTACTGTACAAACACACGCATGTACACCCCGCCCCTATAGCCAGCCCATGAGGCCTGCACATAGAAACAAAACCAAATCAGCAGTAACCGCAAGCTAAACATTTCTCTGTGTGTTAGATTCTCACACAACATCAAAGGCTTATGGAAATAATGTTACCCCAGCTACATGTCTTGTGGAACCAGCTCTGCGATTTTTCTATTGTTCATCAAAACAGATGAGAAGTAAAAGGTACTGTTAGGAACTTTAGTCTGGAAGGGACTTCCGGGTCATCGAATCCATTTTCCAACCCCAAATCTTTGTTAAAAAGGGCGAAAGTGGGAAATCCAGCTAACTTTTCTCTCTCCTCCTGCTCTAAAAAAAGAACTCTGTAAGTTTAAAACCCCCAAACGTTGGAAGGACTCAAAATGTACAGGATTAAGCCATGCATGGGTCTGGTGCTGGCCCAGGGTGAATTTCATCCTAAAGAAACTGGGGGGCTGGGAGGAAGCCACTCTTTGAATTCACTTTGCTGCAGGATTTTTTTTTTCCTGACACAGCTTCACATTTCTGATGCAATCCTCCTGCTTTGTAATTTGTTTAGTATCCGTGACTCTGAATAATTCCGTTACTTTGTATCAGGGGAGGTTTGGGTTAACGAAAAGCTCCTGTGCAGAAGGGCCACTGTGAGTATACCTGTCTGTCTTCCAGGTGGGAGTGCAGCCAAGCAAACGACCTGGGAAGGGGGACATCGAGTTCCGGCGCTGGCTTATTGGCCTGGCAGGATCCCTGCAAACGTGACGAGTGCTGCACTCTTGAGGTAGGAGGACAAAACTTTTTTGTTTTCCCTAGGTGAGGTCTAATGATCTAAGCACAGGACTGGGAGCCTGCATCAGGAGGCCTGGATCTTACATAGTCTTTCTCCCAAGCAGGTAATGTGCTTTCAGGGCATGAGCTAAACTGCTGGCATTTCTGCCGTAAACACTGGGAAGCAAACCACGATCTGTCGGCTTGGTCCTGACAGATGAGCCTTTGCTCTATGGCTCAGAGGGAGGTAGAGGAAAATCTAGGATCGCTGCCAGCGTGCCTGCGGGGGGATGTTCCTGCCTGACCTCAAGCTGGGCTGTGGATAAAACTGTGTATCGTGCGGCATTGGTGGAATCCAAGTCTTTGTCCTTCTCTTTTTGAGGGCCAGCCCGGTGAACCCTGCCAGGACAGCCTGAGGCAAAACATTCCAAGGATTAATCCCCCTTACAGGGAAGAAAGGAATTGTGATTATACACAAAAGCTGTGCTCCAACTGATCAGAGCAACTGTTTGCCTAGCCTGGTCCCCCGTCACCGAGTGGGTGGGGGAGGGGTAGCCAGGACTGGATGCTCTAGGAAAGAGTGTAAAGCCCACATCCGCAGTTACCGAATGCATTGCAGCTCTGAGTTGTAAAGGGAGAGACTGTGGATTATCTGCTGCTTTTACGTCTACCAGACCCAGTCCAGCAGGTTTGACAGCGATAACTCTAGGAAGCTGCCAGAGTTTCAGGGCGCACAGTTGTGGCTGGATTAGAGAAGGAGGGGGCTGAAGGGCACTTGCAGACTCTCAGAAATACCCAGTTCCAGATTTTTGTTGTTGTTAACGATGAAATTCTCCAGTCCCACACAGCCCCAGGGGTGGGCAATCCAGCTTTATGCACTATCCTGTGAAACCCACTGACCATGCTGGGGGCAGCAAACAGCACTACAGTGCAACTACTCTGGTCTGGAGCCTGGGGTAACGTGGCACCCAGATCTATGGGTTCTCGGTCACTAGACTGACATGAGCCCAGATCCATAGAGCCCTGCGCGGATGCAAGATTTGTATCCGCATCTGATCCGCAATCTGCAAACATGGTCCGTGGATATCTGTGGACCTAAAGCAGATATCCGCAGATTTGCAGGACTCTACTGGTCTTGTGCCTCTAGCCTGGCCTGCATCCAGTTATCCCCTGTGCACTGACGGGGAGTCAGTGTTGGACAAGGAAATTTAAAGACAACAAACTCTGAAGAGGTTTAAATAACTTCAGACCAACAAAAGGCAGGATGTTGCAAGTGAAGGGCTGACTGCTTGTCTTTAAGGAACTCCACTCACCGGCCACATCCGGTGGTGATGCACATGGTGGTGACGTAAATCAACATCTCAATAAATGGGCATTAGTGAATGTCAATCACACACTGGGGGTAAAGGGCAGGACAGTTGTAGGAAACGTGGGAATATATACAATGATGTTGAACAAAGTGGAGCCCTGGGATTTTGTAGCCAGTCTAATGGATTGAGTACAGGGCCAAGTTATCCCGAAGCTGTGGGGTTTTATACCTGACATTCATGCCAGTTAAAGGCACACCATTGGGAGCCTTGGGGACTGAAGGTGTAGCAGAGACTACAGCAGTGCCAGCTTTCCTCCTCCTCCCCCTTCCCCAGGAGAGATTTTCCTTAGGGGTAACGGGAGAGTTTGATTTCTCAGGCTCTCTTATTTGCAGGCGCCTCTGGCTGGACTGCCGACAAAGACACTGATTCATGTCTCATAGAATGTGGGACACCCTAGTCATCTAGGGACTGAGACCACCAGGCAGATATGAGTGGGTGATAATCTTTGTCATTACCAATCAGGAAGGGCTCTATACCGGTGACCTGCCTGTGAGGCTCTCTGTCTGACACTCACCCTCAAAACTGTGCAGGTTGTTTACTGTCCAGATTTCTTTTTCCCCGTGACATGTCAGCAATGGGTTCCATCCCGTTCCCCTAGCCTGTCCTCTGATCCCTCAATAGCTTGTTTGGGACGCAGCTTTTCTTACAGAATCTGATCCAGATCGTTTCACAGAAAGGTCACCTTTGTTTTCCCAGCGCTGCAGGGGTATTTCTCTTTGCTGTCATTAAACCAATAGGAATCCACCTCCAGGAAATCTGGCAGAGATGGAGCACTCTTATCGGCTGAATTGCCGATGTGTCCTCTCTCAGGTTAGAGAGGTAGTGCAGCCTGCTGCTCTGAACTTTTGCCCCAACACGACCGCTGGCTCACCCTGGGGCCTGGGCCCACACCCAAAGGCAGTCTTTTCCAGTTGTGGCCTCTGCTCTTAGGTGCCTCTCTAGGTACTTATGGGCCCCTCATCACAGGGGCATCCAAGCACATGGTAATCACTAATGGATATTATCCTCACTCACCCCTGCGAGGAAGGGCTGAGCTGTTCTCCCCATTGTACAGAGGGGAAACTGAGGCCCAGAGAGACTAAGTGACTTGCCCAAGGTCACACAGGAAGTCTGTGACTAAGCCAGGAATTGAATTGGTGTCTCCTGAGTCCCAGTCCAGGCAACTGTAAAGCCCCCAGAAGATGCAAAGCTGGTGTGTCCAGGACTTTTACTCTCCCCTGACTGCAGGAGCCCCAGGGTAGGGGGCATGGTGTGGCACTTCTACCATGGCCTAGAGGGCCTGTTGCAATCAGGGGGGACATTACGAGCCCTTGTGGCTATTCTGACCTGTGCTGCAAGCTGAGCTGACACCTGTCAGGCCCAGGATAGGGTTCTCACTAGCTACACTCCCCATCAATCCCTATGCCCACCCCAGATTGGTGCAGGAATTAACTCTCCTCCCCTGGGCCTTATACTGAGACATAGTTACTCCAGCTGGAGATGTGGGTGCTTTGAACATCTGAAAACAAGGCACTCAGTGTCTCAGGCTGATGAATAAAGCAGCTCATCCGAGCTGGGCATTCAGAATTAGTGGATGCTTTTGGAAATGTTGGCCTCAGTCCTTCTTCGCCACCATTTCGTCCTCCTGTTAAACCTTCTTCGCTGCACAGAGGTGTGGCCGAGTTTCACTAGCTAACGTCTGTGCAGCATGCCATGTATTGCTGTCCCCTGCCCTGGCAAGGGCACGGTACCAAGGACCGTCCGGATGGGTCTTTCCCATCTCTTGTTCCTGTGATCCCAACAGGCATTGGAGAGCGTAGGCGCCACCTGAAATGATCACCCTGAAGGAAGGGAGGATGCAACATGCCAAGCCCAGGAAATGCAAGCGGCTGGTTGCATTGTGAAAGAGGCACGCCTGTATACTAGCTTGGCTGCACTCCAGTCTCTCCGTCAGGGCTGCTAATGCAACCAGCACTACATGGTGCTGGGAAAGAGTCTGCATGCTGTTGGGAGCAGATGGAGCGTTCCTGTGGAGTTGTGAGCGATGTATCTGAGTGCAGGAGGAATGTGCACGGGGTGAAATGTCCAGCCCCAATTAAAGCAGTCAGGGTAAAGGCTTTGCTCCCATTGGGGAAGAAGCCAACCAGCATTTTTGTGCGACTGGGAAACCTCTTTGTGGATGAAGGTTGCCCCTCACCCTCAAACGATGGTGATGCAGAAGGCCTTTGTGGGGTGATGTTTGGAGGCGCACGTGGAGTGTAATCTCTTAAAGATCTGATCCTGCAGCCTCTACATGCAGAGAGCTCCCATTTACGTTGATATGGGCACTTTGCTGGCATAAGCCCGGCAGGGTTGGACCATTTATGGATTACACTGTAGAAGCGCCTTCAAATTCCTTGGGCTGGCTTCGGAATGGCCTGCACTGCTTCTGTACTCTGTGTGGCTATCCTGGGGAGAGCAGTGCTGAGCGAGGCTTGCAGGAAGCCCAGGTCAGTGGACAGCAGGGCACAGAGCCATGGAAAGCAAGTCAGAACTGAACAGAAACATGCTGATGCACTCTGTGTTCTTTTACACACACTGTCCTCCTGTGTGCCAGTGCAAACGTGCAGCTACTAGCTCGTTTCCACTGAAATCTGCTGTGCCTAACTGTTTTGCTTAATGGAAGAAATCCCTGTAGTGTCAGAACTTCCAGTGTTGTTCAAATAGACGTGGACCCTAAGCAGAAAGTTTGAATGGCTTTATTTACCCACAGGTCTCCTTATGAGTGTTTGCTATGTAGGCAAAAGCATCTTCCTCTTTCAGTACTGCCATGTTTTCCCAGCTTTACTTCTGAGATTCATCCTCTTGCACCACATTGGCCTTCACACAGCTCTTGGAAGGTCACAAATGCACATTCACCTAGAGAGATTTGGTCCCCAGTGTACTAAATTGTCAGGATTCTTAGCCAAGGAAGTGAGTTTTGTGTTTTGGATGTTGCCATCCCAGGGAAGGAGGTGCCATCCCTTATATTTATTGCAGGCACCTTCAAAATACCAAAGGTAACTTGACACAAGAGCTAAAGTGCAAATTGTTAACCCTTTCAGTCTCGAGCTGACCCCAGGCAGAGTTGTTGCAGTGTATTTATGCTGGTTGACCTGGCCGGGGAGTGGTTCGTGGCTGGAGTTTCGTCAACAGTCTTAGAAGTCTCTTCTTCCCTTGATATGCACGTCCAGCTCGCGTCTTCCCGGCTCAGCAGTCAGTGAAGCCCGCCCACTTCCTGGATCCCAATAGGTCAGCAGTCAGTGAACTCTGAATCCTGAGATACCAGCTAAGAAAGAGCTCTTGTGTTAGAGCTGAAGACCTGGAACATTGACAGGAAAGATGAATTGTCATCAAAGGTTCTGTTACAGCATGAAACCTCCTGACATCTGTGATCTGCACTTCATATCTGCAGGGGATACTGGAACGTGATACCCCCGGAGAACTCTGAAATCTTCATGATCAAAAGCCAGTCACAGGGGAGACTGCTCACAGGGGGATGGGGAAAGAGATTGACAGCAACAGCTGGAGTCACAGTGTCACATGGAACATAGAGCGTAGGAATAAGGGCGTTACGAACTCAAAGCTTGGCTCCCATTCAAGGCTCACCAAACTGGGTGAGCCTGAGCTGTGTTATGGAATAACCCCAGGCGTGTGTGGTTTCAAGACAGATCGCACCAGCCCTGAGTTTAGACTGTAAACTCTTTAGAGCAGAGTTTTATGAGTTTGCCCGGTATCTAGCATGATGGGGGCCTGTGAGCACTCCTATGTAAATATTAAATCATCCTGCAAAGGCATCTGCCTGTGAGGCCATGAAGGTCCCTTTGCAGAATTGGGACCATGGTTAGGAGCTGTGACTGGGTGAAATGTGGTTGTTTCTAGCATGGCCAATGGGTCTGATGCGCCCCTCTCACATATCCCTCTTTTCTCCCCTTACACAATCCCTGAGTCTCTGATCATTTCCACCGGCCTGGCTGCTGTTTCCAACCCATTTTTGGCATAACGGCTTGACATTGTTCTAAGAGGTAATGCTAAGAGCCTGGCCAGTAGGGGACCTGCAGGCAGGTGACAGCCTCGGGGTTGGTTCAATGGGAGCTATAGGCCACGTCTACACTACGGGCATTGTGGCAGCGTAGCTACAGCACTGTGACCCCATGCAGCGATGGAAGGGGGTTTTCCGTTGGTGTAGGAACACCACCTCCCCTAGCAACTGTTGCTAGGTTGATGGAACCTTGTTGGCCTGGGTGGGATTCCCCCGGGGATGAGGCCTGAGTGTTCTCTGTTTGGAGCCTGACTTATTTAACAGCCTCCTCACTTGCCTCACCCATCAGCCAGCCTCTAGGAGAGGGCGTTAGACTGAGCCTGCCTTTCTGCTCTGCTCAGCGTTGTTTGGCCGCTCGGTCTCTTAGCAGCCGGAGAAATAAGAGCTTCAAGTTCCTCTGCTTCCAACTCACGCAGCTGGGATAGTACCAATGGGCCCAGGCCAGAAGTGCTCACTCAGGCAAAACTCCCGTTATGTCCAGTCGTGCTCCTTGACTTCCGTGGGAGTGTTGGTTGAGTCAGGAGTTCAGGCCTGGGCCCCGTAATACCCGGCACTCTTACTGCTGCTTGGCATGGCACTTCTGCTCCAGCCCAAAGCACAATAGTAGTAATCCACCCCCCAGTGCCTCTGTTGTAGGGCTGTTTTGCCTTCCTCAGGCCTGGTAAGCTAAGACGCAGGTTAAGCTAGTTACCTGAGATCGCACGGAGTCAGCAGCAGAACTCGGAGCTCCTGCCAGTGGGGCTTGTGTCTGATCAGCGGAACGTGCCCCCCGCTAATGTTTACTTCCTAAAACAGAGGTGTTACCCGCCTGGCTCGGCCCAGCTGCCTGGAGGTCCAAGAGGCCGAAGGAGCTCTTCCCACCCTGGCAAACTCCGTCATACGTCTGTAAGTGCTGTGACTGGGACAGAGACCTTTCTGCATTTCCAGCAAGCAGGGAGTTGCCACCCTGTTCAGGTGCCTTAGGCATGCAGGGGATAAGAGCCTTTCCCAGGCTGCTGTTCCAGGGCTGGGAGTTACCTGTTCTTGTATCCAACCTCCTTTAACGCTGCAAGAATAAACCCCTGAGGAGGAGAATGTGCTGATGAAAGAGAGGCGCTTTCATTGCTGATCCACACTGCTAGTTCACGCCAGCGATGGAAGCCCTGTGCCCCGACACTCGCAGCCTTCTTGTAACTCTTGTGGGAGCCTAGCGTAAGGGGCCTTCTCAAAGCTACTTGCGAGAGGTTTCGGAGTCAAAGGAGCACAGGCTACAGTTTTCATAGGGTCCCAAACTCCCAGCTACCATGGAAAGTCAATGGGAGTTAAGTGCCTAACTCCTTTAGCCCTCTTTAAAACCCCAAGCCCCTGTGCTTCTTACTGAAGCAGGTCGTGAACACTGCTGAGTTCTTACCTGGTTGTTTTCATCTGCGGATCTTGAAGTGCTTTTAAACATGAAATGTTTCTCCTCTCCTTGTGCACGTGGTCCAGGGATCTCTGGGGAATGTCACTGACATCCTGTTTCCTTTATAAGGAACTGGGGGCTGCCCTGGGAGGACACATCTGTCCCCAAAGTCGGTGCGTAGCTTGTTTTGACCATCCTAGATTGCCTGATGCTCACGCTCACGGGCAGCCATGGTGGCTGTCCACTCCAGAGGACGTAGGAATCATACATGGCCCTCGTGGGAGTGCATTCATATTTGTGCCAACAACTGGGAGGATTAGAAGGGAAGCAGAGCTACAGAAAGTGAGGGTTAGATGAGGGGAACCAGAGATGCAGAGAGCTGGATTTGCCCCTGATCTCACTGGAGTTGTGCCTGCTTATGACAGTGGTGAATTTGGCCTGGAAAGTGTAAAAGACTTCCCCAAGGCTACCCAAGAAGTCAGTGTCAGAGCCAAGAGCTCAGGAGTTCCTGGTCCCAATCCCATGCTCAGTCCCATCCCATCAGACCATGTTCATGTACAATCAGCACGTTAAAAGTTGGCTGCAGTCCACAAACAGCAGGCAGAAACTCACACCCTTCCCGTCCCTGGCCGTACGGGTCTATACGGTGCAGCTCCTGGCTGGCAGGATGCCTGTTCCTCTCTGTGTGCCACACCCTTAGCAGGATCTTAGTACATGGAGTAACCAAGAATTAGCCCAGAGCAGTATTTTGTGGCTGAGCTGTAAACCCCCGAAAAGAGAGGATGATGGTGGAAATGCTGACGGCTTTTCGGTATAAGTGCACAAAACAGCACTGCGCTCATTTTCCAGTCTGGTTTCTATGGCTCCGGTGTGCGATGCATAAGTGAGACCACATGTTCCTAGGTTACAGGATCTGCTGTGACTGGAGTGAAAAGTGACTGAGTTAGCACTTTCCCTTCGCAGGGTAACTTGGCACCTTCCGGGGGGACTTCATAAAGGGTTACGCGGCCCTGCCACAACTGCAGTATCTCTGGCCAGCTTCCTCTTTGATGTGGACTCCCACGTATCCGAGAACCTGGAGGCCCAAAGGATGAACTAGGGGATGAACTAGGAGTTAGGGCGCGGCCTGGCACTTGGGAGAATTGGGGTTCAAATCCCACCTGATTATCGTGCGTACTGTGGTAGCACCTAGGTGCTGTACAAACACAGGACAAAAAGACCCTCCCTGCCCCAGGAAGCATCTCTGCCACAGACGCTCTATGTGACCATAGGTTTCCATCTGTGATGATAATGCTTCCTCACCTCACTTGAGTGACGTGAGGACAAATTGATCAAGGATAGTGCGGTGCTTAGATGCTACAGAGGTGAGGAGGCCCAATAAGTACCTCGGGAGAAACCATGTTCCCTAGCAGCTCCAGCCCGGTTCTACAGGGCTGCTGGGCAAAGCCCATCTTGACCCATTCTCCCATATTTTAGTAGTGAAATTGTTCAGCGTCTCCTGTCGCTGGGGGGGCACAGGCCTCTGAGCTCTTTCCAGCTACTGTGTCCTTTGGCAGATTGGTTTGTGTAAGACGTGCTGGCTCTTCTCATGCACACGTACTCACTATCCTAAAAATATGCTAATCAATATGGGATATAAGGCAATTGTGTCTCCCGTAGAGAGCATGTACGGGGGGAGGGATAGCTCAGTGGTTTGAGCTCTAGCCTACTAAACCCAGGGTTGTGAGTTCAATCCTTGAGGGGGCCAGCTAGGGCTCTGGGGCAAAAAAATAGTTGGGGATTGGTTCTGCTTTGAGCAGGGGGTTGGACTAGATGACCTCCTGAGGTCCCTTCCAACCCTGATATTCTATGATTCATGCCCACAGCAAGCTGTGCCTCACGTTACCAGAGCTCTTTCATTAAACATGCTGAGGCTAGGGATTCTGGCAAGCTTCTTGGATGGGTGCCCTTACCCACAAGTGCCATTAGCTTTGATAAGCAGCAGGATTGAACCCCAGCATCCAGGCCCAGAGGGCCCCGACATTACTGTTAGGCCTGGGAAGGGCTCGCTGGGGACAAGCTCAATTTCTTTTGCTCCAAGCTCAGGGGTGTGGGTGGGATTTTAATGATTTTAATTTCATGTTTTAATGAAACCTTCCTCTCTGCTCCAGCACCACAGACATTTTCCCCACCTTGGTGTCCCTGGCAAAGGCAAGCCTGCCTCCCAACAGGCGCTTTGATGGTTCAGACGTGTCTGAGATTCTCTTCGGGCAGTCGCACCAAGGGCACAAGGTACGTAGTGGACTCTCTTCAACGTTCAGCTGCAGGGGGAGTTACAAACACCACCTCCGTGAGGGTTAATTGTTCCTTGTGCATGCGAGCATTACCATCGGTGCAGTCATGGTGGGAATGCTGCTGTAGACAAACTAACGCCACTTTAACCACTGTGTCATGTGGGCATGCACTGGTACAATGGTGGGAAATTCTGCCTTGGGGGCACAGCTTCCTTAGGGGTGTGGTTTGACTGGCTGGGTGCAGTGGAGTGCAGAGGGCTAGTTAGGGAATGAATAGTAGAGTCATTATGCTATCTCCCAGACTCCCTTCCCAGCTCATTTTGAGGTCGTACATAAATTGGCTCTGATGGGTCTCAGGTCTGACATCACATGACAGGACTCCATATTACCAACTGCCCAACATTACTTGGCATCATTCAAGAGAGATCTGAAGCTGAGCTAGCCTGGAATCTGAGCTGCCTGTTCACTCAAGACAGAGTGGTCTCTTCAGGGCACTGCTGAGATTGCCGGGAGCTGGTGGAAGGGTTGGAGAAGAATATCCGATGGCTTGATTTTATTTGTAGTACACCATAGTAGCCCTGAGAGGTCTCAACTGAGATTCCAGGCACTATACAGACACACAGTGAGATACAGTCGCTGCCCCCAAGAGCTTATCGTGTAAGTAGACAAGATAGACCAGCATGGGAGGCGATAGTGGACTTGCTTGAAGTCACACAGCGCATCAGTGGACAAGCCAGAAATAGAACCCAGGTCTCCTGGCTCCCAAGCCTGGCTACCGACTGGACCACACTCCATTAGCAGCAAGATGGCAGTTACAAATGAACCTTACCAGATTTGGAACTGCACATTTCTGTGGGCTCCTCTGGCATTTCCCAGCTTGGCCAGAATGTCACAGACTGGATTTCATGGCAGAGGTGAGGTGGGGCGGGGCAGGGCAGGGCTGGGCAGGGCAGGGTAGAAAAGATTTTTTAAAAAGAGGAGTTAAAACTTGATTTGTACGCTGAGCAGCTTGGTTAGTGGGAGTGTGTGGCCCATCAATGTGGCATTATGGGCTAACGTGCACCTGCCCTGCTGGACAGCACTCACCTGGCTCCAGGTGTCACTGGAGTCATCAGGAGCTGCGTGTGAGTATCCGAGAACCAGAACTTGGCCCTTTACTCATCCCTTTTATGCTTTGTAGTTGACCTGTCAGATCTTTCTCCCTGTGCATTTCATAGCTGAGATGCAGTGACAAGAACGCCATCCCGTGTGGTATTTGGGTCTCTGTAGCACTAGAATTAGAGATAAACAAAAATCCCAGGCACTTGAAGCCAGTAGCGTGTCTGTCTTGATTTGACAAACAGGGTCATGATTAAGCTCCTATTTGTTCTGAGCCCTGGCTTGAACGACATGCCCATTATCAATTTGTAAGTAGGGCAGCCAGTCCCGTATCCTGCAGCTTTCAGTCCACATGACAATAGGACCTTCTCACAGCTCCCTAATGCATGAGAAATGCAGTTAGCAGGACAGCCATTACACGGACACATTTTCTGAGCGTTACACAAGATTTTGGCTGCAGGACTCCAATAGCCTTTAATGAGCCTCCCACATCTAAAATCTTGCTCTTTGCTTTGAAAGTCTGCCCTGCTGGGAGCTTCTCAATCTGGCTCCCGGTAGGGATTTTGGATTTGCTCTCCGAGTTCACTGCGTGTTTGGTATTTAATATTTTTTATGGAACCCTTTGTTGAATCCTAAGATAAACGACGGAGGTGGGGGAGATATGGCGAAAGCCCATTTGGCTGTGTGAGTTTTGATGGACCTTATTATAATCAGTTTGTAGCGATGGCCACTGTGAAACGCTACAATTAGCAGAGCATGTCCAGTACTTAAGCAATAGTCAGGGAATTAACTATCTTGAGTGGTTCTTCGCCCAGCAGTGGCTGAAAGCCTCCAGGCAATTCCAGAGAAATATAATAGCCATGATAGATGAGCATGGGCTTGGAGATCTGCTAGCAGAGCTGCCATGTTCCATCATGGGAATTTCCAAAAGTGTGGGGAGAGGAAATTGAAGGGGGCGTAAGAGGCTGCGGGCGGGTCACAAAGAAGAAATGGTAGACGGGCAGTCCATAGTGGGTCAGGGGAACCACAGACTGCAGGGCAATAGAAAATGTAGTGCTGGCTCAGGGTAGCAGTGCTGCAGGACAACAGAGAGTGCGGTGCTGGCTTGGGGGTAATACAGAGCGCCCTGCTGGGTCGGGGCAGCGGCACTGGGCCTGCAGGCTACTAGGCAGTGCTACAGAGAACTGCCCGGGAATGTTGGTACCCGAAGGAATACGTTACATTTTGACCTTAAACCCTAGATGGTCATAATAGCAACAAACATTGACAGGTTGCATTGGGTACTAATTTAGTTTGACTGTTGTCTCCTGTTTACCGCCACTAGAGCTCTGATGTGCCCCGTCTGTGGTTACTCACTGATGAATTACTCACTCCTGCCTCAAACCACTTGTGTTCCTGAGAGAGCCTGCGGACTCCTAGCCCTTCAGGACAGGAAATTGGGATGGGCTGGGAAACTGTTGTGTTTTCAGCTCCTTTCCCTGCCTGCACAGGGCTGGCCCCTATGCTGCATTTTGCAGTGCTTTGTCCTGCCCTGTTCTAAATATCCCCACGGAGACGGAAGGCCTTGGCTATGTAGCCTTTCAAATGATCAGCTTGTGTCTTTTGACCACTCCCTTAAAGGTGAGCAGGCTTTGTAATTCTCCCCGGAGGATCATAGGGGGTGAATTAACCCTGTCAGGGCCAGACCCTCCCTGGGTTTAGGAAACTGTTTGGTTAAATGTGGGGCAAACAGTAGCTTGCTATTTCTAGGACAAGGACAACCTTTCAGCCAGTTTGGGGCTCAGCTCCCAGCCTTTTGTAACCAGGGAATGCTGTTGCCATGTCCAGTGTGTTCTCTGCCTGCGAGCTAGACCCTGGTGCACTCCTGAACCATAGTCCAAACCAGCAGCCCCACTAGATGTGTTTGAAGTTGCCTGGCTCCCCGTCCTTCAGCCAGCTGAGACTTGAGTTGTTCCCGCCAACTTGATACCTTTGGTCTGGTGTGTGCTACGCCTTGCGGAGGGAGAAATAGGCGAGTCTGTCAAAGCAATCCAGCGCCTCGGAGCTTGTGCATTATATTCTAATAAGGGCACATCCGTGGGTCAGCAATCACTTGGCCTTGTGCCTCCCAACACACTCATGCTGGGGAGCGGATTGCATTTCTGCTGTACCTCCCTGCTGAGTGCATATAGCCAAGTACTTTGCAATGAGAATCTACTCCCTTTTATCTTGTACTTGTGAGCTAGTGATAGCAAAACTGCCTTTGATGTTACAGGCTTTTCCTTGACACAAATCCTCTCTGAACCAGTTCCTTTTTTTTTTTTTTCAGCATCTGATTTATGCACCGTTCTGGCAGCTGATTGGGGTGGTTGTTTTTATTTGGGAGGCAGTTTGCTGACTGCAATGTCTGTACCTCTCCTCGCCTTATCTCACTTAGATAGCCTTTGCTTTCTACTCCAACAGCACCTGTATTCACTAGTAGTACCACCTATGCCGGCCCGGGAACTGCAGCCAGTGTCCTGTTTTGAATAAAGTTTGTTAGCAATAAAAACAAATCATACGAAATGTATCGTAAATACAAGCACCAGGCAAATAGGCTTTTTTCAGTAGATTAATGTCGAAGGAATGTTCCTGATACCTGCTCAGTAATAGAAACATACTAAGTAGTTTAGTTCAAACTTAAAATGATCAGCTTTTTTTTTTTTAAATAATAAAGTCATGAATCACTAGATATGTAACATACCTAGTAGTAAAGCTTTGCAATTCTCTAGACTAGAGCCATTCATCAGAGGGCTTCAGTTAAGATGAGCAATTTACCTGTGCAGTAAGAATTGTAATAGACGTTTTAGAGATGAAAACAACAAGGAGTCCAGTGGCACCTTAAAGACTAACAGATTTATTTGGGCATAATCTTTCATGGGTAAAAAACCTCACTTCTACAGCTGCATGGAGTGAGAATTACAGATACAGGCATGGATATATGTGGCACATGAAGAGAAGGGAGTTACCTTACCTTTAGAGATGGTTAACCTGAGTATAACAATACCGGCAAACGTTTCCAGTGTAGGAATAAGCTATACTGGTATATGGCACCTTTATACTGATGTGACGGCATCCATGCTAGTCAGTGCACCACGTGCGCACCACTGCTATAGTTAAATCAGTACGACGTGTGTGTGTAGACGAGACCTAATTTTAAGCATGTAAGGAGACCCACTGGGCTTGATTCTCATTTATGCTAAGGGATTGTCTGCACACTGGGGTAACGTGCTGACAGAGATGGGCTGTCTAAAACACACTAACGTGTTGCACATTAATTAGTCCATGTAGACCCTGCTGGTGCACTTTAACACAATGCTCTTTAGAACAGCACTACATTAAGCACACTAGGGAACCTTTAGTTCGCATCAGCAGGATCAACATGGAACAATTAATGCTGTACGTTAGTGCGCTTTAGAAATCACACCCCTGTACAGCGCATTATTCCACCATGAAGACAAGCCCTAAGGCCAGTTTACGCTGTCCAGCTACTTTAAAGGGGCCTTAATGGTGGGTGTGAATGTATTATTAACTCCCACTTCAAGGCTCGTTCGTGCTAACAAAGCAGTGTACAGTGGCCTCAGTGTACGTGGACATTTTTACAGGAAAAAAAACATTTTTGATTACATTTTCTGGGTTTTTTTAACAACAAAAAACAGAACTCCAAACCTGTTTTGTTTTTTTAAACCAAAAACCAGTCCCATAAACAGTTTTGAAAAGTGAAAAGTTGTTGAAAAACTGGGGGGTTGGTGGGAAATGTACGGGAAACGCCTATGAAAACAAAGCAAACCAGCGGTTTTAAAACTTTTCCACCAAAACTTGGCATTTTTTGTGTAAACCACATTATTCCTTCATTAGTAGTGGCTGTGTTCATTTATCTGGCTTTTGCCCGGGTAGATAACACATGGATGTAAAATCCCAGGGCATCAAAAAAGATGACAGTTCATAAAATGGGAATAGGAATCAGGGTCCATAAATTCAACAGACATCAAAGTGATTTCAGAAAGAAGTGCTCCGTTTGGGAAGTGAACAGGACCTAAACACAAACGCCAATTGGAATTATTACTGTGGGTGGGAGAATAATGTACATGTGAATTCAGTCACGTTGTCTTGGGGAGTCTAGGAAACAGAATAGCTCTTGAAGCCATTGCCAGAGTCTCTTTTGATTGCAGGTTGGTGTGGATCCTCCACATTTTTCATATGCATAGGGTTCTTTGAATAAAAGCCAGCCAAATGTTAGACAAACGCCATATCTGATCAGATCAGTGGTTCAACCACTCCAGTATCCCGTCTCTGACAGTGTTCAACCAGGTGCTTTAGAAGGAGTAGAACCTTCATAAGAAACGGATATGCAATAATATGGTCATAGGGGGAGTTCCTTCCTGGCCTCAAGCAGTTATTGGTTGGCTTATAGCCTGAAGCATGAGGGTTTATATCCTTTATACATTTGTATAATATCTAATGAAACTGCATGATGAAGTTGGTCTAATATCTAATTCTGTTCAAATATCTGATCCTCCAAAGCTCTTTCTGCATCTTGTAGCAGTGAGTCTGACAGATTAGTTATACATTACAGTAAAAAGCATTTAATTGTATCGGGAGATTTTTTTTTTAACCTTCTAATTTTCTTGGGTGAAGTTTTCTTCCCCTCCCGCTTGTGTGGCTGGATACATAATTTCTATAGTGAAGGGGAGCAGTAAATACTGTAGGTGGAAGCTCAAGCGTTGATCATGTCTGATGGGAAGAGGGGGGTTGAATTTTTAGAGACACTATAAGATACTCCAAGGATGATATGGGCCTGACCCAGCCATCTGCTGTCAATAGGGCCATGTCTATACTACAGGGACTGGCATAAACCCATAGCTTAGCTTACCGCTTATGACAAAAGTGGTTTTTCCCTGAGTGATGGTAGCTAGCTTGACAGAAGAATGTAGCTGCATCTACACCGAGGGGAAGGACAGCATAACTACAGTGCTTTGGGGTGTGGGTTTTTCACACTCCGAAACATAGTAGCTGAGTTGAACCTTTCCCTGTTGCAGTGGGACACTACACTGCTAAAAATAGCGGTGTAGACGGGGAGCGCTGCTTGGGTGTGTAGAGAACCGAGTCAGATACGTACCTGGGTACATACCCTAAGGTTCTGGCACTCTCCTAAGCTGTCTATATCTGCTGTTTATATGTGTGCTGGGGGCTGTACTCTACACAGCACTATTAGGAGAGTGCAGTATAGGCTTGCTGCCTTATGGACTCCAGATCCTGGCCCTGCAGGGATGGCCTTGGGTAAAGAATGTTCTGTTTGGTTGGGAAAGAAGAAAGGGCAGGGTAGATGAGAAACAGCATTTCTGTGACCTGCGCTGTCCTGAGGAGCAGGCTCGGAGTGCTGATTGGCTCCTCCTGAGGGGCTGCCACTTGTTTCCATTGTATTTTACTGAACTAGCAGCTCTTCAACAACATATTTTTCTGTCTCCCCCTCTTGCGCTTTTCTTCAGACAGGCTGGGGCCTGCAAAAGTCCAGCATTAATCAGCATTCCAGAGCCTGAGCGCTAAAGCTCTCCTGGTAACAGCGTTCCAAGGGCGGCTTAGCAGAACCAGAAAGGCTGACTGTGAGGATTTGGAGCACTCATAAGCAGTTTAATATAAAGGCTCCAATAATGGTACCCAGCCAGGCAGGATACCATGGCGACGAGGGCCACAGAAATACCTAGAGGTCATGGTAATCCCAGCTCCTGAGGCTGCTCGGAGAGCAGTGGGCTGGAAGGATGCTAGATCCTATGAGCATCTACACTTCCCCCTGCATCTGTGGGGAGATTGTTGCTTTTGTGTCGGTTCTATGATGACACCAACTGAGCTGCTAGGATAGCAGGAGCTTGTGCTGGAGGCTAGCTTCACTGCACTGCTCCTGTTTTCCCCTGCCCACCTACCTGAACCTTTTCCAACCAGCAGGGTCTGGCTACTCAGGGGTTTGTGGGGGTAGGTCTGCTCTCAGCTCTGCTGCTGAGTCACGGTGTGACCTTGGGAGGTTGCTTAGCCTCACTGTGCCTCAGTTTCTCCTGTGTAAAACGTCATCAGTAATTGTTTGTCAGACACTTTGAGATCTTTGCCTGAAAGGTGCCAGATATGGGCAGAGTATACCATCTGCATGGGAGTCCTATAGGACATGAAATCAGGCCTGCCTGCTTTGAGCTCCAGTATGTGCAAACTTCTCAGCTATAGATAGTAAAGAAGAGGCAGCTATTCTACCTCACTGCTACCTGCCCTGAGAACGACACACCAGCTGTAAAGCATGTTGTTTGAAGAAGCTCCCCATTGACAATGTCGTCTCAAAGTGCCACTATGTGGTCTCCTTTCCCTTTTTTGGGACACGAGGGCAGACGCCTCGCTGGTGTGTTATAGCTCTATGAACCTCTGGGATGGCTTCTCGCTCCGTAAAAGCGCATCAAGCTGGGACAACAAGGGCTTTTGCAAAGAGAAGACCAGATGTTGAGTCAAAGGAAGTTAAGCACACTGAGTAGACACTGCCCAGTCAGACCCAGTCTCTGTTATATTCTCCACCTGGAACCTGCATACGAAAATGTTAAGATCCTGCTTTTTCCTCGGGGGGGAAAATATAGTAGCCAATCTCTGAAAATGGAAAAATGTTCTCAAGGTTAATTTTTAGTTTGAATATGGGGGCCGTGCTGCCTGCCCACACAAGCCTGAGAGTGCTGGTTCCCCCCCCCCACTGCCATGTTGTACGGTCCGGTGACAGCAGGAACACCTGCTAAGTAAACGTCTCGCTGATCAGCTGTGAACGTTGCTGCTAAACTTGGCGCGACAGCTGCCTCCATCTCCAGCAGATGTTTCTAATTTTTAGCCCAACGGAAACTTTATGAATCACTTCAACTCCTTCCCAGGGAGGAAACCTCTTGTGATTCATCCCCCTCTGGGACCGCGGGGTTCCAAGCGGAGATTATCTGACAGATTGGCCCACCAAACTCACTTGGCCCTGTCATTTTATTTTGCCTCCAGGGGATCATCCAGTACGGATTCAGGGTGTCATAAAGATTGAACTAGACATAATCCACCTCACCCCCCTCTCACTCCTTGTCACCTTAACTCCCCTTAATGTGTCTCTCTGTGTTTGTGAAGGGAGACTTCCTTACAATGGAATGAGTGACTCAGTGGAGATGAACGGTGCTGTTCCAGGGCATGATCTCAGAGTACAGCCTCTGCTTCACAAGAGACATGAAGTCATTATGAACTTGTGGCTTGGTTGCTGGCCCCACAGAGCTGTAAAGGTCTCTTAGATGTCCCTGCCACTAGCTGAGCTGTAATAATAGCAGGAAGGACCAGAATGCTCCTGGTTCTCATAGAGTCAGACTGGAGAGGGTTCACAGGGAAAGTTACAGTAGAACATAGGGTGACCAGATGTCCCGATTTTATAGGGGCAGTCCCGATTTTTGGGTCTTTTTCTTATATAGGTTCCTATTACCCCCCACTCCCTGTCCTGATTTTTCACATTTGCTGTCTGGTCACCCTAGTAGAACATGAGCTTGTGTTTGCTAAACACATTCCATTCGCTAGCCCCAAATGTTCTGCCGCTCCTCTCTGAAAGTCCTTGGTTCTAGATAGTTTGGTTTATGTAATGGGGGTGGTAGCGGAGCAGAAAACTCAGAGTAGTTAACTTTAGTGGCATGAAACCAGGGCAGATTCTGTAGGACTATATTGAAAACTAACAGCCGCATTGAGGCAGGGACAGAATGAGGTCGCTGTTAAAGCTGATCATGTTTTCAGCCAAGCAGGAATAATACAGTGGGCGCAGGTTGCCCCGTTGAATTGCAGCTTCGATCAGGTCCAGCTACACTGGTATTGTTGGAACACAGACAAGCTCACAGTAGGTCTTTAGTGTTGTGCCATCGCCTAAAGAAACAGAAGTGTGTTAGCAACCCTTCTAAGGAGCTGCTACATTCTGGCTAGTCATATTCATTCTAGCATTGCCACCCTATTAATGACGAGATGTGAAAACAAGAGTGATTGTTATAAACAGGCAAAATGGTTGATCAGATCTCTAGTGCACAATTAGTGCCCATCAGTTGTTCATCAGGGAAGGAAATGGACTCCAAGGGCCCTGCCTCAGGGAACAGGATATGAGAGAAAAGGTGAGAAAGGGCGAATAAAAAACATCTTAGGAACCAGACCCAGTGTCTTACCTTGGCAAGCAGATCTCTCACAGCATGACATATGCAAGCCATACTCTGTCACCAGGGGATTGAAGCAAAGAAACATCAATGGCTCTTACTCTTCCATAGCAGAATTTTGCTTCCAAAACATGCTTGATCCTCAAGACTTGTAATCTGGTGGGAAAGTAGAGTGGCTGCCTCTGCAAGCACAGCCTGGTCTCTGGGGTCTGGTCTATACTACCCGCCTGAATCGGCGGGTAGAAATCGACCTCTCGGGGATCGATTTATCGCGTCCCGTCGGGACGCGACAATCGATCCCCGAATCGGCGCTCTAACTCCACCAGGGGAGGTGGTAGTAAGCGCCGCCGACAAAAAGCCGCAGAAGTCGATTTTGCCGCCGTCCTCACAACGGGGTAAGTCGGCTGTGATACGTCGAATTCAGCTACGCTATTCACGTAGCTGAATTTGCGTATCTTAAATCGACTCCCCCCTGTAGTGTAGATGTACCCTGGGGCTGTGTCAGAGCTCTGGGCAGGAACAGATAAAATCTTACCTGGTATCCCCTAACTTGTTGCCTTCTTTTCTTCCTTTAGACGTTGTTTCACCCCAATAGTGGAGCAGCTGGAAAGGACGGAGAGATAAAAGCGCTACGGCTGGCTCAATACAAGGCATTTTACACTACAGGTATAGTCTGTTTGAATTTAGGAAAGCCCCTTATCCAAAGGCCTGGGTGCCCTGGGGGAGAGATTTAAAAATCCAGGCAAATTGGTACAAACAAGCACAAATCCAGGAGCCTCCCGCAAACCAGAAAATGAATCAAATCCTTGCCCCAGCCAGGGGTCCCTCCCCTGCAGGCTTCGTGGCCCAGAGTTGGTGACCTTCAGGGCAGCTTCAGACCAAGGGGCGTGTGAATTCCAAAGCTGAGGATGCCTCCCAGAGAACGTGCTGACAGCAGCTTCCTCTCTCAGCCCCAGATTCAGCAAGGCACCTAGGCACGCGGCTTCAGTGGGGCAAGCCATGTGCTTAAAGGTAGGCATATGCTGCAGTGCTTTTTTGAGTCAGGACCTGGAACGAGGGCTTTAGCTACAGCACCTCTGATGGTCACCACGACTGCTGGTGGTGACCTCTGGAGACAAAGCTGGGAAGCAGACACCCAGAGCACTTCAACAAAAGTTACAGAGGAAGGATCCTGATGTGAGAGGACAGCAAGAGGAATGACATGCTCCTCTGCAGCCCTCTGGACATGCTTAGGCTCCATTAACCTCAGCGGGTGGATGATTAAAATGGGACCCTCACCCCAACTTCAGAACTGCACACAGTTCCACTGCTCCTGTTCATAGCATTTGGCTTTTTCTGAGGCATCTCCGATGTAGTATGTAGACCCTACAGAGCAGGTGCCTTCCCTGCCAGGGTCTCTGCTTACCAGCAGCACTGGACCTGCTCATGTTCCTCTTCATTTTGTTGCCTTTATTTTTAACCTTCGGTCATTTAGCCTTCTTGTGGCTATTCTTGTGTCTCTGTGTTGTCCTTTGCTTCTCGATTCCCTTTTAGAGCAGCCCACAAGACACCTTCCTATCCTCCCCTTGCCTGTAGAGCTTGCAAAAGCTATCATTTCATAACTGGGTCAAACTCGGGTCAGCCCGTGCAAACCAATGCACAACCTTGCTGGAGGGTTTCAACCACAGCTGCAGTCTCCATTGCAGTACAGGGTTTCTGAGCTATAATTACTGAAGGCTGTCATGCTAGTACTGTTTGCCAGAGATCAGCAAGCCCTAGGACTGTCACTTCATATAACATAGCTCCCTGTCCTGCCTCTGGTGCGATTCCTAAAGAGCAGGCAGTCACTTTTACAGATGTTTCCGATACAGCACCACTGCACAGTAAATGTTGCTAGGCAGGACTTTCCTTAGCCTATCACTGGAATAATCCACGTAGAACTCAAAGCTTTTCCCTCTGCTGCTAGGTTGTTAAACCATGTCCAGCAATGTGGTAGCAGCTGTAGGTATAAGAGGTTAGACCTACACTAGAAACTCACTGATCTCCTTTGCTTGTGAGTAACTCATTTGCCATAGTTATATCGGTTAGCCTAGGACCCTGGCACCCCTTGGTAACAGAAGTATCTGCTGCATGTGTTCAGGCTGCTACATCTGCTGGAAACTAATGACACTGCAGCAGGGATGGCTGCCAGGGGACTTTAGAGTTTCTCTCTGGGTTTCCATTCCAGGCGGGGTGAAAGCCTGTGACGGAAGCATTGGGCTAGAAGAGCATCACCAACCGCCGCTCATTTTTAATCTGGATCAAGACATTCAGGAGCAGGTGCCTCTGGACGTGAAGGCTGGCGAGTATCAGGCTGTGCTACCTGCGATAACCAGGGCTTTGACAGACTTTCTTCAGGATATTGCAACAGACAACGTCTCAACAGCGGATTACTCCCATGATCCAGCAGCGACGCCCTGCTGCAATCCACAGCACATAGTTTGCCGATGTCAGGCTAGCTGCTCTAGCTGTAACAGCGAGCCGTAGACAAGAGTTTCACACTGAATCGGCTAGCAGGTCAGTCTGTGCCGTTCTAACTGTGCTGTATGCAAATAAATCCGATGCTGTCTAGACCAGCTCGAAGGACTAGCATATCAGTATGTAGCTACCGACGGCATGGACAGCAGACATGGTTCTCTTTGCACAGTCTTTAGAACAGTGTAGCCACGTTGCATCCCTTTGAGACACTGTGAGTGGAGTGTTCTGGAAAGATCACCTTCTCTGCTCCTGCATGAAGAGGTGATGAAGAGCTGGTAGATCTAGATCAGTAGTTCTCACACTACTTACCACTGTGGGCCACATCCAGTACTACCTGAATGGCCTGTATGGATGTCACATCAGCCACAGCTCTGTGCTGAATGGGCTGCAAGCAGCCCGCAGGTTGAGAACCACTGATCTAGATTGTGGCTGGGGAGGAAGAAGGGGGAAATGTTCTTCATGGGCTTGCTAGGTGACAGAGGTGGTTCTTGGGTCAAAGCCCTTGTCTATGGTATTGCCCCCTGCCTGTACCTTGGAGGAGAATTGCTGCAAAAGATGAACCTGCATGTCACTTGCCCCTCTGTGATCTGAAACTGGCCTTGAAGGGGACGTGATGTGAGGAGAGAGGATGAGCCCAGGGGAGCATAGATGGGGAGGAAGGGGGCCCAGGAAGCAGTGGATTAAACCTTTGTACATATGGCCTTGGCCTAGGTAGAGGCCCTGAGATCTGTTGGCTCAGAGGGCCAGACACCCCCCGCTATTCCTGGGGAGGTGAGGGGTAATCTTTACCCCCTCTGGCAGCACAGGGTGGTCACTCCTGTCTCCAGGTGGGTTTTTCCATCTAGGGTTAAACCAGTATGGGATTTACATGACACCGAGATGAAGACAGTGGCCCAGCTCTGTATCCTAGGGACAGGGGAATTGCAGGGAGAACTGACCTCCTCCTAGAGATTTAAACAGCTGACGACATGTAGTAAGGCCACCCCCATCCTCGCCCCCCAGGATTTCTTACCATATTTACAAAAGGCTCCCGCTTAGAATAATGTCCTGTACTTCCAGGGCAACTTGCGCCTCTGAGGACCTCACAGCACTTTGCCAAGATGGGCAAGTGTCAGCTCAGCTTGACAGGATGCCTCTAGCACAGCATGCTGTCCCTGCCCTGGTGTCAGGGCATTTGGGGATGGCTTACAGAGGGGGGTGAAAGGGGCGGAGCCAGAGCATGATGCCCTCCTGCAATCTTGACCACTAAAGGAGCTCCTTGGGAGCTGTTATCTACTGGCACAAGGCAGCGCAGCCCAGAGACCAACCTGGTGCCTGGCAGTTCCCTGAATGGTGCTGGAAAGCCCCAATGCTCCCTCCTTTCCCAGGCTGTTCTGGCACATCTGGGCTATTATCTCCATGTTACAAATGGGGAATCCCAGGCAAAAGTTACGTGAATCCCCCAAGGTTGCAGCAGGTCAGTGTCACAGCAGCAAACAGAGACCACAGATCACATCCTGGACAACGCTCCTGAAGCCAGAAGGGGTTGGGCAGGGTTGTAAGTTAGTCCAGGTTCAGCAAGAGCAGCAGCCGTCTTGAGTCTCAATTCCCATCGCTAACAACGATGCCCTTCACTCCCAAAATTGTATTGTTTGAAACAAACCAGTCAGCGGGCAGCTGAAGGCAACGGGCGATGATTCACAAACAGTAGAAACCAAAACTAGCAGTTGTTCCACTAATAAACCTGAATCAAGACTGACATCCGCAGGGCCCCCCAGAGAACAGCAAGAACTCCCACACCGAGCAGCCACTGACATATGATGACTTTATTACTAGTCTTCTGGTAGAGCTCAAACATAATAAATTGGGAGATTTCCCCCTAATATCACTGCAAAAATACTCTGCATGGATAAAATATTATGTATATACTGTACAAAGACACAGTTTAATAGACTTTATACACATAAAACAGCATAAATTAGAAAAGGGAAACCGATGTATATAAAATTCAGGTTACATACAAATCTGGTCAGGTTAGCATTTACAACGGGGTTTTAATGTCTCCTTTGTTAAATATAGCACTGTGCATGCAGTACATTTATACCACTCCCATATCCCATGTCAAACACAGGGCCAGAGGGGTGAGGTAACCACTTGAACATACTGTTGTAAAAGCAATGCAGCACCTCTGGTTATTCGCCCTGTTGTAGGCACCCACAAATCCGTTCTTCCACACTGCTGGGTTTTTCCAAACCACCTCCCAGCGCCTGTCCCGAATCCTGAGGTTGGCGTCTCATCATGACCTCTTCACTTTGCCCGGGTGACCTCCACGGCACAAGATTATCTACCAAAATCAAAACAGAACTGCCTTACTTTTCCCAGCAACAGGCCGTTAAGCAGGGTGCATCGCAGAAGGCTTTGCACACGTGCAGGGGAGAAGACGCCATGCAGTGTTTTACTTTCTGGTCAATGGGAGTTGTGTTTGCCCTACATGTATAGGTTCGTGACAGTGTGTCCCTTATCCAGCTGCCATCGCATCCAGAACACAGATTAAAAACAGACAAAGCATGCAGACATACTGGATCACTACGTGTCAGCTCTTAACTCCGGTAACAGAATACAGCGCTTCCTCAGGACACAGGCAGGAAATACACAATGGCAAGGACTTTTAACTAGCTACTTCATGCTAGCACCGCACACAAGCCACAACAAGGGGACCAAAGATCTCTGGGCAAGAACCTCACCTTCTTAGGGAAAAACCTGGGGTGGGGCTGTGCTCCCCCACCCGCTACCCTCAGAAGGGTTCTTCTGCTCTATGGAGACTCCACCCAGCAGCTAATGTGTTCTGGGTGTCAGTGCACAGATGCCTGCTGGGCTAGATCATCCCCCAGCTCCTACTGAAACGACCTCCATCTTGGGCTGAGTTGCAGAGACATTGAACGCTAGAAGGTGCAAAATGCCAGCCATACTTCCATAGAGGCTTCCCACCAAGAAGGAGCATTATTAACAGACAGTTCCACAGAGGCACTTTTGCTCTTTGTTACCGCAGGTAGCAACTATAAAGAAATATAGCCCCAAATTCATAGTAGTGCCGAATGTCTCCGTAGCAGAGTTAGTATGATCAAAACGACAGAAGGCCAACATTGAAAACAAACCCTGTGACCTAGGCAAGCACTGGTAACATGCAACACAAGCGTGGCTGCAATATTTTCACTTCGAGCGTACCAAAATATCAGTTGTTTAGACAGCTTGGAACCTGTGGTAAATAATGCTTTTGGCACCAATCCTCAGCAGTATCTCCACCTACTTCGGCATAGCAAGGCTGATCAATACAAGGCTCCCTGTTTTAATTATAGGTAAGTTCTGTTCCTTGGCAACAGGGTCCTAGCTCACTGCAAATTTATCTAGTGCATAGCTCTCACCTGCACCTGTTGCTACGCCGTTCCCGGTTTACACGGCTGCAATGTCACCTTTATTCTGCCCTAGGGACTAAGCAAGGTTTGTTAACTCTCTGATGATCATGATTAGACCTTCATCCACAACTCATGCTAAGTACGCTGCGTCCATTACAGGAAGCTCTTTTCTAGCACTGAACTGACTCCAATGAAACCTGAAGCTAGTAAAGTAAAGACACAGGGAAATACCGACTGCGACAGGCTTTCTAACCAGCCTCTTCCTTATTGGCCACGCAGGAATACTGGGGTGTGTACTGCAATGGGCAAACATTCACCAAAGCCGCTAAGAGCCACTCAGGAATCCAAATTGCAGCAAACAGGTGGTAGGTGGATATGGCCCATTGTAAGGATCTGTTTTCTCACTGCTATTGACCATGCTAGTTGCTGGGCGTGCACACAGGAGCCATATGCTCACAGCGGCAGCAGTGTGCTTCAGCTGCCCGCCCTTTTGTACTGGCCACGCAAGTGTCATTACATCTGGAGGTAACAGAACCAAAGGTCCTGAGCATGGAAGCCATTTTAAAGGCTCCTTTTGCATTTCAGTCCCAAGCCCTGGGTTCCATCAAATAACTGATCGCTCTGCAATCTCTAGCCGGAGTTCAGAAAACGCCTCTAATGAAATTCCCTCTTGCTATCAGGCTCCATCTTAACATTCCGGATACGAGATTCTTTGGTTCTCAGCACGTGTAGAAGAATCCAACAGAAATGTAACCGCGCGTGACACCCCTGCATTAGAGCTCTGTAGGCGGGCTTTACATTCTGCACAGATCCTCTTTCCTGTTGCATTCTATGGGCCTTTGCAGAGATTTCTATGGCATGTATATTTCATTTCTATTGAAGCTGCTCTATAGGTTTCATCTTTCTTGCTAATAAATGCTTGCTCAATCCTATAGGACTCTTCCATAAAACCTCATGACTACGCTATCGCTTTAGAACATTCAGAAAAACACCTTGTGATCATGGTGTCCTGAAGAAGCTGCAATGGATTCTGAAAGGCTACTTTGGCTATGTGGCCAAAATCACATCAGCATTAAACTCAGGTGTAAAGTGCATAAATCAACAATTACTTAGGCTCCTGGAAAGCTCTTTTGGAATACTGACTGCCATATGTCAGATCACTAGCATAGGTAAGCAGAAGTCACAGCTGGAATTTGTGCAGCTGTGCGTGGCCAGAACCACGTGAACATTTAAAACTGGACCTGTACATAGAATAAATAATGTGGGTTCATTCCTCCCATCCCAAGATTTCTGGTCCTCCCAGCAAGTCAGCATTCTGCAGGGATCAAGTATTGACTTCAGTGCTTCCTTCTCGAGACATCAATCTTAGGGTACTATGCTGCCAGCCGTTACTGTAGTATCTGTGCTATTGATTTTATGAGGAAAATGCTAAGTCCCTAAATGGACTTCACAGAATCAAGTCCACTCCTATCACTGAAAGTGAAATAGGTGATTAACCTTGTTCTCCAAGTCACTACCAGTTTCAATAGCTCCCAGCAACATGGGTATCATCCAAACAACTTCTAGTTGCGGTCAGATTTTAAAGTAAACACAGGTCCTCGGGCTTTTTATCTCCTCCTCTCACTGAGATCTGGCCTGGCCCTTCCCTTGTTAAATTAAGTGGCACCTTTCTATTGCCAGCAACAGGCTCTGGATCAGATCCAAGCTATGGCACCTTTAATACTAATGATTTAGTCACATTAAGCAGTGATTGAATTCAGTAGAAGGAAGAGTATTTAAAAACCAGAGGAACTACAGGATACTACTGTATGTTGCTCCTTCCACAAAATTGTGTCCAAATACAAAGCGTAACGAGTCGAGCTGGCTGGGCGGGGACAATTCCATTTTGCAACAACTCTCAAGGTTTCAGAATTCGTTTTTGTTCCAAACCCTTTCAAACATTTTCTGGAAACAGAAATGGGTTGAAATATCTGTTTTCGGATTGGAAAGGTCAGGCTTTGATTCTAATCTCTAGTCAAAAGTGACCAGAGTGTCCATCCTGGAGCCCAGAAACTTTTCTGTTGAAAACCTCGTCGAAATCAATACATCTCCAAACATCAAAGTGTTCCAACCAGCCTTACTTATAAGCAGCACAGTGTAAGTAAATGCGGCACTAGCAACTCGAAACTTCAGCAGCAAGGAGGAAAAACAAAGCTCTAAGTCCAAATGCTTCATCTGGAAGCTCCTACTGCTAGGTCACGGCAGAGAGGCCTGTTTTGGGAAGTAAGTCACACACGTAAGTTGTTCTGTCAAGTTAATTACAGCACAAGGTTTTGACAGATCAAAGTCCATTTAATAAAGGGCCTGTTGGTGGACAGCAGGGGTTTTGGGCTGCTTTCATACAATCCAATCACAGCAGGCAAACTCACGTAAGCATATCCGTTCAGCTCAGCTCCTGCTTGTTGGCACTTGCTTGTCCCTAGGACACACACTCAAGTGCAGGTTTCTTGGTAACAAGCACAGGAAGTGTGTGTGGGCTCCACTCCTTCTAGAACATTGGCTTCAGCACCCCAGGGGTCAATATGGAATGATTAAAGGGGAAACACTTCAAACTAAATACCCTGAATAGGAAGCCAATGGGGAAGAGAGAAAACGGTCATGCCAGGTTTCAAATCAATTATGTTGCAGACAACGGAAGGGAACTGTATAATCCATGGCCGTGTCATGCACAGTTCTGAACTAAAGCAGTGAGTTTCATGAGTTCTGCAACTGGCTAGCTTGCTTTTATATAGCCCTCTACAGCAGTAGATCTCAACGTGCTTTAGAGTATCACTAAACCCTAAGGAGTCCGGTGGCACCTTAAAGACTAACAGATTTATTTGGGCATAAGCTTTCGTGGGTAAAAAACCTCACTTCTTCACTGTCTTTCAGACAGCCCCCCAACCTGAAGCAAATACTCACCAGCAACTACACATCACAGAAACACTAACCCAGGAACCAATCCCTGTAGCAAACCTCATTGCCTACTCTGTCCCCATATCTACTCTAGCGACACCATCAGAGGACCCAACCACATCAGCCACACCATCACCTGCATGTCTACAAATGTGATATATGCCATCATGTGCCAGCAGTGTCCCTTTGCCATGTACATTGGCCAAACCGGACAGTCTCTACGTAAAAGAATAAATGGACACAAATCGGACATCAATGGTAACATACAAAAGCCAGTAGGTGAACACTTCAACCTCCCTGGACATTCTATAAACAGATTTAAAAGAAGCTATACTTGAACAAAAAATCTTCAGAAACAGACTTCAACGAGAAATAGCAGAACTAAAATTCATTTGCAAATTTAACACCATTAATTTGGGCTTGAATAGGGACTGGGAGTGGCTGGCTCATTACAAAAGCAGCTTTGCCTCTCCTGGAATTGACACCTCCTCTTCTATTATTGGGAGTGGACTACATCCACCCTGATCGAATTGGCCCTGTGTTGACAGGGCCAATTCGATCAGTTTCTCCACTTGTGAGGTACCTCCCTTCTTTTCATGTGTCATTATATAATGCCTGCATCTGTAACTTTCACTCCATGCCTCTGAAGAAGTGAGGTTTTTACCCACGAAAGCTGATGCCCAAATAAATCTGTTAGTCTTTAAGGTGCCACTGGACTCCTTGTTGTTTTTGTGGCTACAGACTAACACGGCTCCCCTCGATACTTGACACTAAACCCTAGTCAACTTTGAAAATCTCAGGACGTGACACACAATTGGTGGCTGAGACCCTAAGGGCATGGCTACACTCGAAACTCCAAAGCGCTCCCGCCGGAGCGCTCCCATGGCAGCACTTTGAAGTGTGAGTGTGGTCGCGGCAGGTTGAGCTCTCTCCCAGCGCTGCAGGTACTCCATTTCCCCGAGGGGATTAGCTTACAGCGCTGTAACTTGCTGCGCTCAGGGGGGTGTTTTTTCACACCCCTGAGCGAGAAAGTTGCAGCGCTGTAAAGTGCCAGAGTAGCCTTAGCCTAAGATAGTTTTTACTTGGTCCTTACTCAGGCAAAACTTCCACTGAAGACGGGTGAGGACTGAGTAAAGGGCTCAAGATTCTGTCCACGGTAAATTGCCGCAACAATTTAGTCAAGTCAAAGTGTCCTGGTGTATTAGTGTGTTACCATTATGGAGAGGCTGCTAAACTACTAGAAATTATTACTGCAGGGAATCAACATCTGCCCTCTCAAATGTTAAGCAAACCACATGGTAAGTGTTTGGATACTAGATCTCAGAGCTGGAGAGACACTGCCAGGTTCAAAGTCAGTTTTAAACAGCAAAAATGTCCTTACCTCTGGTGACTAATGCGGATGATTGGAAATGGATTTTAAATTCTAGTACGCTTGTCCCCGTTTGGGCTTTTTCCAGAGGCGGCGGAAACTCACTGTGAATTGGGGGTGTGGGGCAGCGGCTCAGAGGTGCTCTATATGGGGAGCAGGGGGAAGTCAAGGCCAGTGCGGGGAAGTCGAGGGGTCAGGGATAGATTGGGGAGTGGGATGGGAGCTACTCAAACTCAACAGTGTGTGCGCGGGGGGTGTTCCTGCCTGGATCCTGGGTCCTGCTCTCACCTGCTTCTCTCCCTACCACCCCTCGTGCATGTGTGCATGGTATCGAGAACGCCCTGCCAGGGTGGAAGCACACATCAGCCTCCCCCCCCGGCCAATATTTCCATTGTGGAGGCGTTAGCCCCCTTTGCCCCTCTGATTCCGCAGCCCCTGGGACTTTTTGCATTTCACTCAGCTTGGGAATGAAAAGATGGCTCACTTTTACTTTTGTTCTGGTCACTTCAAGTTGCAGCTGCACCAGCCCAACGCTGGGATATGTTTACACTGAAAATACTGCTGGGGGGGGGAGGGGGGGCATAATTTTTTTGTTAAAAATGCTGCCGTCGTCGCAGTTAAAGCTATTTCTATTAATATGAGAGACGGGCTCAAGATTTAAAGGTCAGATCCAGATTCAAACTTCACCCACATTTGTAGGTGCTTAATTTCTGGGAATTTGCTTGGCCCTCTCTCTAATTAACGTTAGGATCTGTAGGCTGTACCCCCATCCCTAGCGGCCACAGCTGTGGGCATAAACTACCTGGCGGTGTCCCTGTAACATAGTTGTTATAGGCTTGATAATGGATCGGGGCACATTAGAGAAAGGGAACAACATCTTTTCTGTAAGAAGTTAATACTTTCTTCTTAGCATGAGGGCTGTACTGCCGTTTTAGGGACTCCTAATGCTCACAGGAGGGAATTCATTCTCGTCATCAAGACGCACTGGTCCGGTTGCAAATTCGTGCTCTGGGATAACCTCTCCTCGCAGGGCACCCCCATCTTCTGAGTAACCTGTAAAAACAAAGAAAGGCAAAAGACTAAGGACAAATGAATCCAAGAAGCTCAGAGCTGAGCAGGTAGAGACACCATCTTCTCACTGCATTTGAGCTCAGAGCTGGTTTCTGCAGCAGTCTGGCAAAGTAGTCGGAGGACCGGGGGGTGTGGTCTTTGCCAGCAGTAGCCTGGGGAACAGATTCAGGCATTAGCGTCTGCAAAATAAGTTTTCTGCTTCCCACCACAGGCAAACCAAGAGGGGCTTGGATAATTTGCTGCAGTAACTTTAACAGCCATGCAGATATGAGTCATTCATACAGAAGACCTGGAAGAACTCAAAGATGTGGCATTTGTTTCTGTAGGATGCACGAAAGAAAGAGGCTTAACGAAGAAATCAGTTTCAACAGTAAACTAGGTCTCATGCTATACAGACTAATGTCCAGGGAAATGATCACGCCAGCTTGTGTTCCCAAAGAGTGAAAGAGTTTAAACTGTAATAATGCTTTATACTGTTTCACTGTCTTTTCGTTTCTTCAATTATTATGACAACCAAATAATCTAGTTTAAAGTACATTTGCACCTTGCAGCAATAAAAGAGAAGATCCTGTAAAAGGACCTTTGTAGAGGATGTATTTCTGCTCTCAGTGGATATGTGCAACTTCCACTGAATATTAACAGAAGTTGTGCCCGAGTGCATGGAGAGATGCACACCCACCCCTGCAAACTCACTCTCCCTGGCATGCATTCTGAATAAGGAAAGGAAGCAGACTGCTTGATGCTAACAAACTGCTAAGGAATCACGCTCCACGTTTTGGTAAAAGCTTGTCAGAGACTTTGCTGATTTATTCCCAAGAATTAGAAACCTGAAATATTGCTTTGTGTTTTTAATTAGGATTATTTCTGATCACCTTAGATACAATGTTCTGCAAGGCAGCTGTCATGATGGAATAATTTATTTTAAACTGGGGAGGCGATGTGTTAAAGGTGACTGCGTCCATTAGGGCAAGCCCAGGTCCCCGTAATAAAAATCTTGTTCTATTGTCTAGTGTGTATGCAAATCTTGACGACTAGGAAGTATAAGAGGGCAGTCACCCCCTGGACTCCTGCACCATTTTAGAGCTAGTTTCTGTACGAAGAGGCAAAGTGGTTTCAATAGACTCTGTAGCGATCCCGACGCAGTACCATGGAGATCAGACTTTTTATGAACAACCACCGTCTCATGGTTGGACACAGATCTGACAGCTGTTATCAGTAACAAATTGTAATGCAAGTGAGGATCTAGCTACTGCTCTTCCCAGCGGAATTGCAGCATAATTTTGATCATTATTAATCATGCTTAGCACTTAGCTAGTGCTCCCTACTTTCAAAGCGTTGTATCACTTTGATGACCAAAAGTTAAGTAGGTATTAGCCAATTCATCGTTAGGACGCCCCTGTGAAGTAGGAAAACAACGTGTGGGTTTTTTTGCAGTAAACTGACGGTAATCAGTTTGTCTCACTCCTGAAAAATCAAAAGACCAGCCTCTTTAGAGCCAAGAATGATTTCCTCCACATGTCACTTATTTACACTGGTTTAGGGTTCTTGGACATACAGCACAGATCCAAGGTACTGGAAACTGGCTACAAGCAAGGATGAACCACAAGATCAGATCCGGAAAGCGTTCAAAGCTCTAAACAGGGAGAATCTACTAAAGGGTGTGGTGGTTATTCCAGAGAAGGGTGGGGAAAGACACATGGATTTACAGACCTAGGTGCTGCCACAGGGCTCAATGCTACAAATGAGTAGGGTGAGTAATATTGAATATTTATAAAGTGCTTTTAATATTCAGAGCTCTTTGAAATACACTGTGTAGCTCCACAGATTTATCATTATTAAACCTCACAACACACCCGGGCCAGATTTATTTTACAGATGGTGTCATCTGACGCAAGGAGGTTAAGGGCTTGTCTTCATTACCCACTGGATCGACGGGCAGCGATTGATCCAGCGGGGGTCAATTTATCACATCTAGTCTAGACATGATAAATCGACCACCTGGCGCTCTCCCATTGACTCTGGTACTCCACCGGAGCGAGAGGCGCAGGCAGTCAACGGGGGAGCGTCAGCTGTCGACTTACCACAGTGAAGACATTGCGGTGAGTAGATCTTAGTATGTTGACTTCAGCTACGTTATTCACGTAGCTGAAGTTGCGTAACTTAGATCGACATCCCCTAAGTGACTAGCTCAAGGCTACAGAAGGAGTCATTATTGGAGAGGAAATTCAAATGTAGATGTTCCCGATGCCCTCTCTTGTGCTCAGCTCACTAGAGCAACCCTCTGCGCCTCATGCATACATGAGCACTGGCATTTCAGAATTGGTGACCATCATAAAAACACGGGGTGTGGGGAAGGACACCACCATGGAACTTACAATGAACTCGATTGCAATGAAAGTCCATTCTGTAGTTGGATGAGTGCAGGAGGGCCCTGAGAGACCCAAAGGGCACCGTGTGAGCATAAGGATTAGCCTGGGTGGACCTGATAGCAGGAACAGGGTGATGGTGAAGCAGGACAAAACATCCCAAGTCATTTCAATGGGCTGCAACATGGAAAGTGCAGTGCCAGGGAAGCTTCTGCTCAGTGATGCTCTGCTGTGAAAAATTCTGACTTTGCTCCAAGAAGCTTTCACCTGGTCACCCTTTCAGAGATGCCAGCCCCTGGGGCAAGCCCAGCTCACCTGGCATGGATGAAGATGAAGGCATCGTACTTGGTCGGGCTACGGTTGCTGCGTAAGACTGAGGTAATGGAGGCCGGAGGTCATTTTCTTTGTTCTCGTCTGTCTTTCCCGAGCCGAGCAGGCTAATTGTTTTGAAGCAAGAGAAGGAATAAGAGTTAGCTTTGATCCTGTCCATGCCCCTCCTCTGCAGCAGTTTTAACAATGCCCCTGTACAGGTCACAGTAATGGATAATGAGCTTCTAAGTAACAGACTCATCCAAAGTTTCTGTGAGATGCCAACCCTGCTACAAAAACATTAGGAGCTCACAGAAACAAGGAAACCAAACATGAACCTGAAACGGCCCATCTGAGGCCTGCGCTATGCATTGTCACGGATGTCTGAATTAGCCAGGCACGCTGGAGCATATGTTCGTTTTGTGGGTTTAACAGACAGTGCTTAGGCGGATAGATAGACACATATGCTCTTCCACTCCACCCCAAAGGCTTAATATTATCCATAGCTATGTAACCCGCTGGGGTTATTCATTTGAAATGGACATACAAATTAAAACTATAGGCGCCGACTCCGTGGGTACTCCGGGGCTGGAGCGCCCACAGGGAAAAATTAGTGGGTGCTCTGCACCCACCGGCAGCCAAGCTCCCCTCCCCCCCGCCCCCGAGTGCACCGCGTCCCCACTCCTCTGCCTACCTCCCAGCGCTTCCCCAGTTGTTTGGCAGCGTTAGCATGCTCCAGTAGGGAGGGGGAGGAGCAGGAACATGGCGTGCTCAGGGGAGGAGGCGGGGCCGGGGCGGGGATTTGGGGAAGGAGTTGGAATAGGGGCAGGGAGGGGGCGGGGTCTCATGGAAGGGGTGGAGTGGGGGCAGGGCCAGGGGTGGGAGTGGAGGGGTCGAGTACCCACAGGAAAGCGGGGAAGTCAGCGCCTATGATTAAAACAATCTCACAGGAGAAGACTGCACTCTGCCAGACGGCTATTTGTGTTTATGGGAGCGGGGGGGGGGATAGTGCCTTGCACTATCATGCCTCCCAGATCGGTTCTAGAGCACCAGAGGGACAGTACTCCTGCCTCTCCGGCGCACGGACCACGTTCTCCAGCCAGAGGATCTGACTGCAGTGGAAGTACTTTGGCTTTGGCGGTAGAAGATCAGGGCCTCAGAATTTCAGAGATGAACAAACCTCTCCAAAGAGGTGGGCTGCAAATGTCCCCCATCCAAAAGCAGAGTGGCTCCAGGCTGAGATTTTCGCAAAGCAGCTAGTGATTGTGAGGCCTTGATGTTGGGGTGCTCAGCTGGAGACACCCGAAGCGGCAGGAAGTGCCTCGCATCTGCCCTTTGGAAATCAGACTCCTTCAAAGAGTCTCAGGTTGAGCACCCAAAATCACTAGTCACTTTTTAATTCCTGGTGTCTCGTTTTCCTTAGGATGAAGTTTCCCTTTTTAAAGATCAGTCGTTGCATCAGCCAGGCCCAGTGGCTCAGAGCACCTGTGATGCGCTTACCTGTGTTTCTTAATTAAGACGCACTCTCCTCCATCTTGAGGGTCTAGGTTGTAGATGTAAAGGTGTCCGTCTGATGTTGTCACTAACAGTCGTGGCAGCTTCTGAATCCTAATAAGAAACGAAGTGATGGATCTCTGTGCTAGCAGGGCACTGTGGGAGGAATGAGGAGCTTGGCGTCTCCACCAGGGGTGCTTGCCTGCCCTTCAAGTGGTAGCACATGAAATTACAGCCTTGGCCAGGGTCTGACTGCTATCCTCACATACATACCTCGCGCATTCCCGCTGCCCTAGATCCCCCATGATGGGCAGTGCACACCCTGCACTGGAGCAGAGAGACAAGGAGCTAAAGCCCTGCAAGTGAGGCCAGGCATGGGGCGTGCCCGACCCCATCCAACCCGGGTTACCTGTAGTGTAGACATAGCCTTAAAGGGTCCACACATGGGTTTGCACTGGTTTTACTAACCAATGCAGATAGGTGAGTAGACAAGACCTAAGTGATCACCCAAAGTTAAGGAAGGGCTGTGCAGATGACCTAATCTGTACCTCCACCTTTGCCTGCCACATCCCTTGAGAGGCCTGTTGTAGGTAACCTATGTGCAGTAAATGCACCTTCAACAAGCTAATACACCCCCCTTCTCTGCCTGTGCCACATCAGGAAACAATCCAGTTGTGTTCTGTGTCTGTAGCACCCTTTGCCAGCTGATGGGGTGAAGAGAATGCAGATGTTCCAACGTACGTGGAGAGCGTGCAGATGTTCCTTTGTCCAGAGAAGTTCAAGCGCACGGTGGCAAAGGCTCGGTCCTGGTTCATCATGTCCGACACTTGAGCAGGGAGGTAGTTGGTAGCAGCCATAAACATCTTTCCCATGTAACCACTCCAGGTGGGAGGCTCTTCTGGCCGGCTGGGAATAATAAAACACCAGTCACTGAGGCTATGTGCCGTAGCTACCACAACTAGCATCAACAAAACAACAGAGACCAGGGCTAGTTAAAATTTACATACAAATTAAAACAACCGGACAGGCATCTTCCTTTTGCCAGTGGAATCACGGGAGTTCCCTCAACAGTCTTTGCATAACCCCCCTTACCCAATACCCATGACTTGTTTGCACCAAGAGAAAAATGTCCTGCTGGTAACTTGTGCAAACGCTCCACCCCTCGTTCCCGCCAGAGAATGACTTGCAGGATTGGAGTGTTAGATATGGCCAGTAAAATGGAACCTGCTTTAATGCAGGCTTGCTAAGGTGTAATTCAAATGGACCAGCCCAGACAGAAAATCTACTCCCCCACCTTCGCCCCAGGGAGGATCATGGGAAAAAAATAACACTTTACTCGCCTGTCCAAAAACCAAAACAAGTTACTTTCCATGGGCGGCCGGTGATCTGGCCATTGGGGGAGGCTACTCCTCGGCCCCTCCCCTTGTGTGCAAGGCCCCGTCCCTCCCTCTCCTCTTCTGCCCCTGCAGGAGCCTAGAGCACCCCCACCGCAGTCCCAGTCCCAGCCTCAGCGCCGGGTGGCACGGTCACAGCACCCCCAGCCCCGGTGCCGGGCAGGCAGCGCTGCCCCAGC